TCAAAAGTCGGTCAGACAGCACGGATTAGGAGGGACTGTTGTGCCGCCGGTCGGAAGGTCGGCCACCCGTCGCGCGCCAGCGTGCTCTCCCCTCCAGGGTGCCCCTCCCCCCCCCCCCCCACAGGCGGCCGCACGACCGGCGAGGGGGGCGGGACCGAGGCGGCGCCCGACCTCTCCTTCGCGGTCGTCACGCCTCCGACGAGCGGCGCCCTCTACCAGTGCGTGCCGCCGCAGGGAGGCAGCACGCCGTGCGGGGGGACCAAGGCTTGCCCCTGCTGCATGCCCGACGACTGCGGCCTCACGCCGCTCGCCGCGGCGGACGCGGTCGAGGACGCCACCGGCCGCGTGCTGTACAAGCCGGACGACGACTTCTTCAACTGCCCGACAAAGGCGAAGGAGTGCAGCGCGGCGGTGGCGGTGGGCGAGTCCGTGAGCTTCGTCTACGAGGTGCGCGACGCGGACAGCCGCCGCTCGCCGCCCGCCACCGCGGAGGTCTGGGTGAAGAATGAGCCCGACTACCCGTACCTGCGCGGCCCGCGCGAGTTCGACGCAGAGGTCTTCCAGGAAGTGAGGCTCCCGGCCGGGCTCGAGATTGGCGACCCGGACAAGGACCTCGAGAAGTGGGGCGTCACCATCTCGACCGGGGCGGAGTACGGCGGCTTCGTCTACCTCAACGACAAGGCGCCTCCCACGCCCACAGACTCACTCCCACGCCCACTCACTCACTCCCACGCCCACACACTCACTCCCACGCCCCCACACTCACTCCCACGCCCCCACACTCACTCCCACGCACTCTAGACGCCCACCTCCGCCCGCCCGGCGCGGCGAGATGCTCCGCCACCGCCGCTGACCCGCGCCGCGTTGCACAGATCCGCGCGGACCCGGAGAAGCTCAAGTACATCATGGGCGATGGCAGAAGTGCTCCTCTTCTTGCGCCCCCCTTTGCCCTCCTCGTGTGCAGCAGACGTCAACGCGAGCGCTCCACCTCGTCTGTAGGCAAGTTTACGTCCTTCACGGCGTACCCGTCCGCCGCTGGCGGCGCGATTGTCGGCAGCGCGGCGTTGCGCGCGCCGGTGCCGCCTCTAGCGCCGTCGCGCGAGAGCTCGAGGCGTGGCGAGTAGGTGCCAAGTACATGTCGCTCGGCAAAGATGCCGAGGCGTACAACGACACGATCTCAATCATCGTCCAGGACCCGACTACTAAGTATATCCTCCCGCCGTGCCCCGACGGGTTCGTGACGCTGACCAAGGACGACGTCGTCGGGCTGGACACGTCCGTGTGCGGATGGCAGATCCATGTCAACAGCCTCCCGCCTAGCGAGGCGCGCGCTGGCCCTCTCGCTCCCCTCCCCCGGCACCGTGCAGCGGCCCGTGCAGCGGTCCTCCGCCCCGCCCTGCTTCGCACCCCTTTCCCAAAGCAGCCCTCACCGCGCCCCTCGTCGTCTCTGCGCAGAGCCAGTTCGTCGATGCAGCGGCCAATTTGCCAATCTCGTCGCTGATCGCCACGTGCGATTCAGCCCGCTGCGGCCGCCAGGCCGGTGAAGCCCGCCCACCGCTCGACCTGGTTGCTCTCCAGGCGCAGCATGCAGGCCCGCTCTCACCCCCGCGAAAGGCACCGCCGCCTCACCGCCCTCTCGAGCGGCTGCTGTAGGTGGAGCCTGATCGGCGCCGTGCTGCTCTGGTTCGGCTGGCAGCTCTACGGCTGGCTGTGGAACGTGTGCAACCCGGAGGATGTCGAGACGCGCGCGGCAGAGCGGTACGAGGTTCGTCCGCAGAGGCGCGAGGCCGCTCCCAGCGCCCAGCGCCCAGCCACCTCCCGGCCTTCCCCTCGGCACGCGGCAGGTGCTCGTGCAGAAGCGCGAGGCCAAGATGCGCGGCTCAATCTCGCCCGACGTTGGGATGGGCGGCGGCGGACTGCCGACCACCGGCAAACAGGCGCGGTCGAGGCGCGAGTAGTTGCCCCTCTGGGGAGAAGATCGAGCCCCTCCCCTCCCAATGCCTTCGCACGCACGGCCACCGCCCCTGATCACTCGCGAGCGCGTTGATTGCAGGCGTTGGACGCTTGAGTCGTTTGGGAAGGGGGGGCAGGTTTGTTAGGTGTGTCACGTGCACACTGGTGCTTTGGGTATGTGCGAGAGAGTGGTGCGAGAAAGGGAGCCTAGCCCAGCCTCAGAGGCCGTGACCGATGCCTCGTCCCGGCAGGAGGGGGATGGCGACGTCGACGGGGGCGGCGACGGCGACGTCGTGGCGCCAATGGGCTCGCTCCGCTCGTGGGCGAAGTCCAATTATGCGCGGCGCCAGTCAGAGAGAGAAGCTGCGCTCGTGAGCGCGTTGGCGCGGCCGTCGCGGCCGCCGCCGAAAGCGCCGCAACCAGCGAACGTGGACCTTGAGGGATGATGGGCGGGCAGGACCGGGCGTGGTTCGAGACTCTGGCGGTGGGCGCGGCCGGCGGGCTTCCGCGCACCGCTCTATTACGTTCCGTGCTGTGTTCGGTTTTCAGTGCTGTGTCTCTCTTTCTTGTGGTGTTTTGAAACATGTGCCGTGTACTTTGTTACCCCATAGCTACGCGCTAGTGACTACGATGAGTGCGGGTCAGGAGGCCCTAAAACGGCGGGAGGGGTAGGGGTGCCGCTGTAGGGGTGTGGAGGGGTCGGGAGGGCGGGAGTGTGGACCGTGATCTAAAGCCCTCCACCGGTAGAGGTGTCAGGCGGCAGGGCCCAGGAGGGGTGGGGGCTGGGAGGGCTGGCCAAAAGCGAGGCGTAGGAGGGCTCGTGAGGGCTTGGGAGGGGTGGAGAGCTCGGAGGGGTCGGAGGGCTCAGAGGGCAGAGAGGCACGAGGGTGGCGCTGGTGGGCTCGTGAGGGCTCGGGAGGGCTCACAAGGGATGGAGTGCCCGGAGGGCTCGGAGGGGCGAGCCGCCGAACCGGGCTCGGGGGGCTCGGAGGGCTCGGAGGGCTCGGAGGGCTCGGAGGGCTCGGAGGGCTCGGAGGGCTCGGAGGGCAGGAGGGCTCCAGTAGGGCTCGGAGGGGTCTGGAGGGCTCGGAAGCTCGAGCCCTCCGAGCCCTCCGAGCCCTCTTGGGGGGCAGAAGAACATAAGCCGCGACTTCGTTTTTTTATTTTTTGCGACCCCTCCCGGAGGGCCCTTCCGACCCCTCTCGAGCCCTACCGCCACGAAGATCCTCCCTTGTCCGACCGTCCCTCCGAGCCCACCCGGCGTCCGGGGAGGGGGTTAGCCCTGTGGAGCCCTCCCGACGCCGATCCGACGGGGACCCCTCCAGCCCTGTGGGCTGGCGAGCCCTCCGATCGGAGGGGTGGAAGTGGGAGGGCTCGAGGACGGACCTCTCTCGCTCCGGGAGGGTGGAGGGGTGCAGGGTGGAGGGGGTGGAGGGGTGGCTGAGCCCTCTAGCTCTTCCGATAAGCCCTACCCCTCCCGCCGTTTTAGGGCTTGCTGACCCGCTATGACTACGATGTAAGCTTGGGGACGGGAGATGTTCGCATCCCCGCTCCCCCCGGCGCCCCGCCCTCGGCTCTGCGCACAGCGCTCTCTCCGTCTGGGTCCAGCGTGCACCTGGCGTCTTGGCTCTCTGCGGGCGTCGGGGGAGCGGTTGTGCCGCCGTGGGTTGACCAGTCTCCACGCCGGCTGTTTCCACATGGGTCATGGCATTGATGGCAACCCCCGACCAACACCTCGCCTCACTCTCTGGCGACTGGGTCACAGGCCAGTGGCAGTGCCCCGGGGCACGACCATCGACCAACTGGATCAGTGTGCGGCAGACAGGACCCACAAGCAGATAGTGGGCACGGCACAGGAGCTGTCACCTGGGGACGCTTTGAGAGGCCCAGTTGAGTGTGCTGGAGGGAGAGGGTGAGCGGGCCCAAACAGGTCCTACACTCTGGTGCTACTGCGCGCTTCCCATCCCTAACCTTGATGTGAGGTCTGTCCCGCTGAAATCGGTGATAGAACAAGCGAGCTTTTGTGCGTAGCGAGCTTATCTTAGAGCACGATATTAGTTCGATTAGCCGGGCGCAATCATCACGTCATATCTCCACGGAAGCATTTGCGCGAACGCCTCCCGCTAGCCGGGGAAGCGTTACTTTTGCGCGAACGCCTCCCGCTAGCCGGGGCGCACTGGCCGCACTCCCAGACCGTTAGGGCCATTCTCCAGCTCAATATTTGGGCACGCTTTTCACACGCACAACGCGTTGGCGAGGGGGTTGTCGGCCAAGAGTGGAGAGGGGGAGGCGCTGAGGGGTGGGAGACGCGCCAGACGTCGAAGCGATCCGAGAATCAATGAACAATGCGAATCAAAGGGTGTGTTGCCCCCGAGCGACGCGGCGTGGGCGAGGCGCCGGCGGTTGTGTATTTTGCGAGCGACAAAACAAGAAAATCTTGGGTGTGAGAGAGAGCCATGGCATGGCGGTTTCGGCCGTGTGCACAGACCAGGCACAGACAGATTAGCATTTAGTACTCGATCTACAGAGCTGCGAGTGTTGGCCCAGACACTGAGGGAGGGTGTAGAGGGTGTAGAGTGTAGAGCGCTTAGCCAAGAGCTGAGAGATGTAGAGCGCTCTGGAGCGCGCTGTAGATCGCTGTAGAGCTCTACACATCCAGCACGGGAGACGGACCGCATGCGCTGTAGAGCGATGTAGAGCGATTTCACAGAGTGAGAATTGTGCGCTCTACATTGCTCTACGCGCAGGCAGTCAGCCCCTCCCGGGAGACGAGAGCGCCAGCCTCCCAGCCATCCCTCCTGTTAGATTATGTCCACGTCTCGCCCTCCCGTGACGAAAACGATCAACGCACCAGGCGCTTGCCTGAAGAACGCGAGTTCGAATCGTAGGAGGCATCTAGAGCAAAATTGGGCCCGCTCAGGTGTGAAAAAAATAGTGGGGTCAACCTGCCGATTTCGAACCGGGGGCCACTCGATTGAAGGGAAGTCTCCGGCCGAAGTCAGCAGAGTAGATGTTGGCCGAACCGGAAGCGTTCGAGCGGCGGCCCATACCCGTAGCACATTCGAAGTGCCAAGAAGGACGTCATCAGTACGAAACCTCAGAAGGCCATGGGCGCCGAGAGAATATTCCCCCGAGAAGACAAAGAAAAAGCCTTCGCACCCCCTCCTTGCGCAGTGTCCCCCGCTATGTGTCGCCGTAATCGGGGCACGCTATCCTGTGCAGTCAAGGCAAGCGGGGGCGAGGCGCAGCCCCTCTGGTCTATACTGGTGTGGTTTTCTGTCCCTAGTCTCGGAGGGGGGCAAAAAGATACGAATATCTCATTTATCCTGTGCAATCAGGGCAAGCGGGGGCGGGGGGCACTCCCCCTGGTCTGATACTGGGGTGTGACTGTCTCCAGTCTCGGAGGGGGGCAAAAAGCTAAGAATATTGAATTTCTTTTGTCCACGTCTCGCAACTCGTGTGGGGCTCTGGCGTTGGGGGTGCCAGACATGGCTCATGGGCGTTGTATCGAGGCGTTGCCCGTTGCGGCGCGGCCTCGTCTCGAGCACGAGGTACGGCGGCCCGGATCCCGAAATATGTGCTTTGGGTTTGGCCTCTTATGGTTATGCGCGTTATTTATATGTGGAGACGGTATGACTCTATAGATGCGCGATCGAGTGACACTGACCCAGTTGCGAGGAGAGGTCCGATCTAAGTTCTAACCGAGATATCCGCGCTGCGGTCACTGGCGTCCCAGCGTCCCACCCGCGGTGCCGCGCATATGGTGGTTGGTGCCGCGACTCTTGGGGCCCGCATGCGTGCCCCATCCCATATCACCATGCATCACACACCACACATACACCGCGCACCACCCGCACACACCTCACACGTTCAAACTTCAACAAGATCAAAAGATATAAGGATTCATGGATCTCACACAAGTCACATGAAAAATGTGCGACCGCGAATTCGCCACACCTGTGGGTTAACACGCTCAACAATATCACACCACATGCACATGTACATGTGCCTCTCACGCCAGCCCTAGCTCCTCAAGCTTGCGCTGGTTGCGCGCCTTTGTCGCGTCGCGCTGCTTCTCGTACTCGGAAAGCGGCTCCGGCGGCGGGGCGGCGGCAGACGAGGAAGCGGCGCGGCGCTTGGTCGCTGGCCGCGCCCCCTCCCCGGCCGTTGCTGCCGCCCCGCCTTCGGCCCTCCTCTTTGCCCTCTCCTCGCGGCCCTGCTTGTTCCCAGCCGCCTTCTTGGCCGCCGACTCCTCCTCCTCCTCCTCGCCGCCGCCGCCCTCGCTCTTGCCACCGCCCCTCTTGACGATGCCGCTCAGCTGGTCGCGAGGCACGTATGAGGCGCCGTGCGACTTGACCCGCTTGGCGCCCGAGCGAAAGTCCGCCTCTTGCAGCTCGTACGCCCAGTGCAGCAGAGTCTGCCGCACCACGGGGCTGACGGTCTGGTCGTCGTAGCTCTTCCCGTCGCGGAGGCATTTTGCGATCAGGTTTTGCTTCCACCGCCCCTTGTCGCCGCACACGCCATTCCACCGCGCAATCTGCCGCTCGTCCTCGCCGCCTGCCAGCCGGCGCCCGGCGTAGAAGCTGCGAGGGGCGGTGCCGGCGTCAGGCAGGAGCGGGGACAGACGACTAAGTGTGTCGGGCAGCATCGCCGCCGCCGCTCACCGGAAGTACCACTGCGTCCAGCCGCGCGGGTCGCACTCGTTGATCCAGCCGCTCGACTCCCAGCCGGCCTGGTCGAGGCCCGACTTGACGCCGTGCTTGTTGTGCGAGGAGCTGTACCGCCGGCTCAGGAACAGCTCTTTGGGCACGCCCACGAACCACTCTTGCGGGAACTCGTCGATGGTGACGCCGGGAATGCCGTTCGGGTACTTGTTGCGCGGAAATTTGACGCCCGGCTTGCCGCCCTTTGGGTTGAAGTAGATCCCGCCGTGCATGCCCGCCAGCAGCATCTCGCGCGGCGTCATCGTGGGGCGGAAGTGCGAGGGCGCATCGCGAAAGCACTTGAGCTTGCCGGTCGCCAGGTCTTTGGCGCCAGAGTGGCAAGCGACGTGACGCACGCCGCTCGGCGTCACTGGCAAAGCGGCTGGCATGGCAGCAGGGGCTTCTCGAGTTCTCGAGGTTGATGGCCTTGGTGCGGCTAGCTAGGTAGTTCTCGGAAAGTTCAGTGAGTGAGTGCCGCAGAGCAATTTCTCTCTGCCTGGAACTAGCTTGGAAGGCGCACGAACTTGAACATCCCCCTCGACACCGAGTGTTCCTTCTGGATGGATGCAGGATGGACTGCGACTACCCCCACAACAGTCCTCAGCACTTGCAAAGCGAGCGAGCCGCGCCTGTGCGCGTCCTTACTTAGGCTGTACCAGGTTTTCCTCTTGCACCCCGTCTGTTTTCCTTTCCTTTTTTCTCTACAGCACTCTCTTTTCCTCTCTATTTTCCCGGGAAAACTCCGTGGAAATCGTCAAATTTTGGGCTCCGAGCCGAGTCTGAGAGAGAGATTTTTAGCAATACCTTTATGTGATGTTACAGGTGGGTTAAGAGGGAGATGTGCGCGAGCTGCGGGACCGCCGGGACGGCGGGCGGGTAATTGCGACACGCCGCCACTTTTGGCAATCTTTGGGCAATACCAAACAACTCTAACACTCACACGTCATCGAGTCTGAGGCTGGTTTGGGCCCAAAATCAGCCAAATTTTAGGCCAAATCGTCAAAATGCCGGGAATTTTGCGGAGACCCCGCTGTAGACCTGGAAATTACCCTGCGACCGCCTAGGTATTTTGTCGATTTCCTCAATTTTGCCTCAGATTTTGCCCCAGACCAGCTCTCAGACTCAGGGAAACTCGCGAGTTTCCAGAATGGAGCACCAAACACCGCCCTCTGTTTTCCCTGGAAATTTCCGGAAACGCAAAGTGCTGGGGACCCTCTGTTTTCCTTTTTGTTTGCCGGAGTAGTTACAGGCCAAGCGCGTCCACGCCCATTTGAGAGAGAGAGATTCCTTCTCTCCTCCCATTTGCGCACGCGGGACCTATGTGAAGCGAGGTCATCAAGAATGATCCGTCCTGACCTGATGCATTTGGGCCTTTCCAAAATCAGCGGCCCCTCTGGGTTTGCGCTCCATCCATGCTCCGAGGCGCGTATACACTCGCTGAAGCCCGCTCGACGAGGTTTGATTGCGTCTCGAGCTTTGCGTGGGACGCTCTGCGGGGGGACGTGATGATCGCCGTGCTGCAAAGAATTTGATGTTTGCGCATGTTTCTGTGCTCACAACCAGTGATCACCCAGACACCCACTCCTCTCAAGCACCGCGACTCCTCTCATTTGATGAGGGTTCGATCCGCAGAAGGGGGCGCAATCTTCTCGCAAAATCTGGCAACGGATCCCAGTGTGAGCACGAGACCTTCTGCTTTGTGCATTTAGACGATGATTTGTGTCATGCACGATGGTGAAAGCAGTGATGGGGGCAGAGAGAAGGTTCAGAGAAGTCCGACAGCGACCGAAAAGAATTTTCGTACCGGCGCACCCAGCTCGCGTGCCGTTTTTATATATGTCGTAGGAGGCCCGTGCCTGCGTCCGTGCCGGCTCTGGCCCGTCTGCCGCCGCGCGCCGGATGCAACACTTTGTCCTACTCTATACGAGACGGCCATGTTTTTTTACTTTAACAATGGCACGGGAATGGCGCGACAAGGTGACAGGATTTCCCAGCGCCCCTCGGCCCTCGGGCCTCAGGCCCTCGCCAAGAACCCCGGGCTCGGCCCACCTGTCGGCCCCCACCAACTCCACACCAACTCGTATTGTAGCTTCTACCGCGCCACCGCTCCCGCCCACGGGGCCAGTTGACGACCACACAAGAGATAGAGGACTCTTCTTTCGTGCCGACTGACTGCGGTACAACCTTTGGCAGAGGCTCCCTAAGCCGGCCGCGCCATGGCCAGCTTCTTTGCGGCGGTGGCGCGCGAGCCCGCGGCGCCGACGCGCTGCGACTTTGCGCTGACCGTCTTCTTGGCGCCGGCGGCCGAGGTGCCCTGCGGGAGGGAGGGGGCGGGGAGGGTCCGGTCTGAGCGAGGCAACCGCGGCGGGGGAGGGGAGGAGAGAGGGCGCCGCGCGCGCCTTGTGCTTCCGGCTGTCGGACTTTGCGAGCCGCGTCTGGTCGCGGCAGCCGTCGCCGCCCTGCCAGTGCCCCCCTCCCGGGCGCGTGAAGGTGTTGCCGCAGGAGGAGCACGGCCTGTCCGAGTACGGCATCTCGCGCGAGCACTTGCCGCAGAGCATGCGCGTCGCCCACACCGCCTGCCCCGCCGCCGCCGCCGGGCAGTCGGAGGCGGCGTGGCAGGTGGCGCACGGGTGGGCGCGGCCGCAGCACGGGAAGCGCAGCCAGCGGTACGAGTGCTTGAAGTGCTTGCACGCGCCCTTGTTAGGCAGCGGCTTGCCCACGCTCAGGCCGAGCGAGGCGAGCTGGCTCGCATTCTTCTTGCGCAGCTTCTTGAGGAGCGACTCCATCTCGTCCTCCTCCTCCTCCTCGCCGCCGCCCCTGCCGCCGCCGCCGCCGCCGCCGCCCGCGGCGCCGGCGTGCCTCACCAGCGTCACGTTGGAGAAATAGAGCGGCTGCGGCGAGTGGCACTCTCTGCAGCCGTCGCGCACCCGCCGGCCGCGCGCCGGGTCGGACACCTCCCGCTCCGCCCCGCAAGCGCACATGAGGAGCAGGCCGAAGCGAGGCACGTCCGCGAGCGTGCAGCCGGCCGTGTCAAGGAAGGCGGCGGCCGAGAGGCCGGCTGCCGAGCCGAGAAAAGCGGGGCGGAGGGTCGCCGCAAGGACGGCGGAGCACTTGTCGCACCACACCTGGCCCGGGCAGGCCGAGCGTCACAACGACAGTGTCGAGATGAGGCCAATCCTCCTCCTCCTCTCGATGCACGCCTTGCTCGAGCAAGCCGTCGCCGAGAGGCCGGAGAGGCGAAGCTGCGCTCGCTCGCCGCACCGCACGCAGCCGAGGTCCGCCCACAGGTGCGTCAGCCTGTTCACACCCAGAGGTGTGAAGAGCGTCTCGCCTGGAGCCGCCTGCCCAGAGGCGCGCTGTCCGCCTCGCCACGCACTCGCCTCCGAGCTCGAGGCCGTCGAGCCGCACCTCGGTCCCGCGCACGAGGGGACGACTCTCCAGCACCATCCGCGCCTCCCCAACCTCCGCCCCATCGCCGCCGCCGTCGCCGCCGCCGCCGCCCTCGCCGCCCTCGCCACCGCCGCCGCCGCCGCCCTCCTCCTCGCCCTCCTCCTCGCCCTCCTCCGCATCCCAAGCCGCCAGCGTCGCCGAAGCGGCGGTCGTGTTCGCCTCCTCGGCCAGCGCCAGCGCCGACGCCATCGCGCGCGTCTTCTCGTCAATCTCCGCCGCTGCGCGCCGCGCCGCCTGGTCGTCCTCCGCCCTCGCCGCCGCTTCGCGAGCCTCCTCGAGCGCCCTCTCCGCCTCGGCGGCCCTCGTCCTCGCGACCAGCGCCTCCGCCTCAGCCCGCGACGCCGCCTCCGCCGCCGCGCGCCGCGCCGCGCGCTCCACCGACAGCACCGCGCCGCTCCGCTTCGCCTCCCTCGACTCGACGCGGCTCGCGGCCGCAGCCAGCCTCCGCGCACGCTCGGCCGCGGCGGCTCGCCACGCGCGCCAGCGTAGCATGGCGCGCTCACCGAGCACCGCGCAGGCCGCGCCCACGACCAGCAGCGTGAGGACTGCACCCGCGACGCCGAGGATCTGCGTCTCGCTCAGCACCCAGCCCGGCGGAGACTCGGCGGTGCACGCCTCCAGTGCGGCGCGGGCCGCGGCACAGTTCTCGCTCTGCGCGGCACCGCTGTCCTCGACACCCGCACACGCGCCCGCAGTGTTTGCAGCCGACTCGCAGCGCCGCTTCGCCAGGCGAGCCGCTCGCCTGGCGCGCTTGAGTGCGTGCGCGGTGCCGATCAGGAGAGCCACAAACGCACCGCCGCCTGCGGCGAGGTAGTAAAAGGTCGGGTCGCTCTTCTTGGCCTTGTCCTTCTTCTGGTCGGCCGAGCCGAGCTTCTTGCCTCCCTTGTCCGCCTTGAGCGTGGACTGTCGACCCATGGAGAGTACCGGCAAGAGACGAGCAGCGGCAGCAGCGGCAGCGCAGACGAGCAAGTTAGTGTGCGAGACACGGGACTGGCCTGACACTTACTACACAGCGCTGAAAGAAACGAGTTAAAAGAAATTTTTGTAACAAGAAATTTCGCGGTCAACCAAAATCCTGCTCGTGCAGGTGGGGAGGAGCAGGAGGCAGGAGTTTTCGTTTTCTTTCTTTCTTTCATGGGGAGGCGTGGACTGGACCAAACCCCTGCACCCGTGGCTGCAAAACACGTAAACGAGGGAACTCACCGGTCCGCCGCTGCAGTCCTCGCGAGCTTCGCGTCAAGCCGGAGCGCCTTGACGGTCGCCAGCACGCACGCCTGCGCCACCAGCGGGTGCCACCACGCCGCGGCGCACAGCCCTGCGGGCAGCAGCAGCAGCTCGGCCGCCGCGCTGGTGAGTAGCGCGAGGAGGGCGCCGGCGGCGACGTCGAGCAGGTGGTGGGCACCGTAGTACAGCCGGCCGAAGCAGGCGAGCAGGAGGCACCCGATCGCGGCCGCCGGCAGCCCGGCGCAGCGGAGGGCCGGGTAGGCGAAGCTCATGGCGCCGGCCGCGTCGCCGCTCGGGAAGGACGCGTTGGCGTCGTGCTCGAGGATGGCGCGGATCGCGGGCAGCGCCTTGGGCGGCACGTCGGCCGAGGCGATCGGCCGCCGCCGCCGAGCCAGCCGCTTGGCCATGAGCACCGGCGCGATCGAGGCGTACCACAGAGTCAGGTAGGCGTGCGCGGCGCCGCGGCCGGGGAGACCCAGCACGTGTGCAGCGGCAACCGCGGCCGGAGGCGTCAGCAGGATTGCAGGCACCGAGTAGACGGACCGCGCAGCGCGCGCGGCGGTGGCGGCCGGTGCCGCCGCGTCGTGGGTGAGGAGCAGCCGCAGGTGCAGGCCGAGGACGGCTGCGGTTGCAGCTGCGGCGAGAGCCCACGCGGTCGGGCTGGGAGAGCCGCCGGCCAGCAGTGCGAGCCAGAGGGCGAGCGGTGCGGCGGCCAGCGGGTAGCCAAAGCAGCAGGCTGGCACAGAGAAGACCAGCTCTGGGAAATGGCCGAGGCGCAGCCGGAAGGCGGGACGCGAGAGCCATTTGTCGAGCCGATCGAGGGCGGAGCCGTCGATAGGGAAGCGGCTGAGGCTCGGCTGGGCATAGCCGCGAGGCATCAGGAGCGGGCCGGAGGATGCAACCCCCTGAAGGAGGAGACTAACGGGCACCCTCCACTGCGGCCGAGCGTACGAAGAACGAGCGTACGAAGAAGCCGTTCGCCGTCTGCTTGTTCCTCCGAAAGAAGAAAATACACCCCAAGAAAAACAAAAAAACAGACAACGCAGAGAGGGATGGGAGGACAGCACGCCGCCACCACACAGAGGAAGACGCAAGCAAGGCTGAGCTCCTCCCTACATCTCGCAGAATGTCCCTTGTAACGTGAGAGAGTGCGTTGTGTTCTTGTTGTAGGAATTCACTAGTGATGTTAGAGGTAGCAAACTCTTGGCGCACGCATATCTTGGATGGCCGGCATGGGGCCTGAGGCGTCGCCCATGCTTGCCATGTGCGAGTAGATGGTAGAATGCACTAATAGGCACGTCGCGCAAGGTCGGGATCGCAGGTTATGCCCGCATCAAGCGCCAGTTCAGAGTCGTCCAGAGCCGTGGCACACACGCCGTGGCAGGCCGTGTAGCCACTGAGATGGCCTTATGACGACCCCATTTCGACATCTGAGCAACCGCGCCGTCCGCCGTCCAGCACAATCGCCAGGGTGGCGAGCGCCGCACACAGCACTGCTCGTGCCGGTCAAGAGAGACGCGCCGGTCACAAGCACATCTAGCGCGTCCTTTGATGCTGTCTGTCGGTCCCGGGTAGCCTCGGGCGCCAAGGGCGAGCTCAGGCGCGACAGAGAGCGCGGAACGTCGACTGGCGCGAAACTTTCGCGGCAAGAGATTGCTACCACCTTAAGAGGGAGATGTGCGCGAGCTGCGGGACCGCGCCGGGACGACGCTAGGGACGACGGGCGGGTGATTGCGACGCGCCGCCCTAGGCGCCGCCACTTATGGCGACTTTTGGGACGCGCGATCGACAGGCCGAGAAGGGGCGAGGCCGTTACGGCCATGATCGTGGCTGACGACGCCGGCGACAACCACTGGCGGACCGCAGCGAGGACCGGGAGGCGGCGGCGGAGCGGGAGAGGAAGGCGAAGGTGGCGAAGCTCAACTCGCAGACGGTGAACGCGATGGAGGTGGTGCGGGCGCAGCAGGCCGCGAAGGAGCAGGGAGCCTTCGACGAGGCGGCCATCAGGGCAAACTAACGAGGTCGCGGGAGCGCCAGTGAAGGCCTCCTCCGCCATGGTCGCGAGCATCTTCAATTCTCGACGCGGGGGCAAAGATGGGCAGATGGTGCAGCGGCGCGAGCAGCGGAAGACCCAGACCGGCGCGGGCACTGCCGCGCAGGTTGTGGATGGCCTGGAGAAGGTGGCGGCGTCGGCAGTCCAGATGAACCAGAAGGACGGCGCCGACGCACTCACGGTGACGGACGCGCACGCGGGGCTGGTGAATGACGTGGCGCTGAAGCAGGGCATGATGGCCATCTCGGCGAAGGCCGTGCCGAACTACTACCAGTTCGTGTCGTGGCTGGCCACATTTGCCACGTTTGTGCAGTGCTTCTATCCGTCGTGCGGCTGGCGGCACAATTTGCCGTTGGATGGGAGCGGAGGGAAGCCGATATTGCCATCCCGCCGAAGCTGGTGGTGCTCTACCTGGCGATGGTTGCCAACGGCCTGGTTGGTGCCGATGGGAGGGTTTGTGTGCGACTTCGAGGACGGGTCGGCGTCGTTTGCTGCACGAGGGGGGCGGGTGCCGCACTCCAAGAGCAGGCCGCTGGGCGGGAAGGACAACTTCACAATGAAGACGATCTCTCTGTGAACTCACAGACAGACCAGCGCATAGCGCCATAGGACGTGTTTTCTTCTCATAACAAGGCTGTGAACCAATCCGCTTTCTCTTGCGCGCGGGCGTGGCCGGCAGGGTGGCGGCGGCGCTGGCGGCTGCTGGCCCGGCAGGCGGGCTTCCAAGGCCGGCGCTCCTTGCGGGCACCGGTGGGCACCGCGGCGGCACCTCTCCGCCACACCTTTGTGGCACCCCCCCTGTCTTGGCGCTTTTTTAAGCGCCTGAGCTCCTCCCAAGGCTGAGCTCCTCCCTGCATCTCGCAGAATGCCCCTTGTAACGTGAAATTGTGCGTTCCGTTGTTGTCGATCCGCTTTCTCTCTTGTCCTTTAAGGTCATTCACGGGTGTCCGCGGCCCACTGTGCCCGCTGGTAGGACAGTGTCAGTGATCGCCGCAAACCCTGTGGTCAGCTCGATATCATATCGGATATTTTTTGTAGGCACCGGAACGCCAAAAAACTAGTATGATGTATGTCTTCGAGGGAAAAGTAATCCGAGGAAACCCGCTGCCGCAATGAATTAAAATGGGCGGTTTTCGAGGGGAATCTGGAGAATCTGGGAATCTGCTCACCACGGATCCCCACCTCATCGATCGAGAAACTTTTGTCTTTTCACTCCAAGACAGACTAGTTTTTCAAGTTAGGCACAAAAGATACGGCATTGCAGGCCATTTAGGATATCTAGACGATCACTGAGTACCGGGTCAACAAAATCCCCACTGGGTTCCGGCTCCTACCCGGATAGGGGGTCTGTTGACCACGGTGACACCCTATGCAATAGGTAGGTAGGTCCGGCTTTGACCGCCCCAGAGGGCCCTGCAACAGGTAGGTACCTGTTTTCGTCTTTTTTCGCTTCGCTGCGCGGCCTGGGGATAGATAGGTAGGTAGGGCGTTTTGGCGCCAGCAAGCCCCCTATCTGGGTACTCGAGTAGGAGCCGGAACGAGCAAAATCTCTTGTCGGCGGCTCCTCGGGGACGAGCAATGCGCCGCGTCATCAAGCTGAATGTGGGCGGCCGTCGCTTCGAGACCACAGCAGCCACGCTCGCGCCCATTGGCTCGCCGCCGACGTTCTTCTCCTCCCTCCTCGCCCACGGCGACGCCGACGCCGACGAATACTTCATCGACCGCGATGGCGACACCTTTGCTCCAGGTGTGGCCGCCACACACCTCGCCACCGTGAAAAGACCTTGCCACGCCCACCCGTCACCGCTCCCGCGTGCAGTCCTCAACTACCTGCGGTCGGGCCGGCTGCACGTGCCTCCGACCCTGAGCGAGGCGGCCGTGCGAGACGAGGCGACCTTCTACTGCGTGCCGCTCCCTCCCGCCGCTCCCCCCTGCCGAGTGCGCCACGACGGCCTGTACATCTCGTTTGGCGTCGCGCCGGCGGCGGTGGCCGCCTCGGCGGCGGAGGGGAGGCCGCCGCCCGCGGAGGAGGAGCACGTGCGCGCCTACCTCGCCCTCCACGCCGACGGCAGCGGCGTGCTCGGTCGGCGGGAGGCGGACGGCCAGTGGAGCGCCATGAAGGTGAGCCACGAGAGCCTCGCGGGCGGGCTGCTGCGGGTCAAGCGGCGGCCCGCGCGGGGCGAGGCGGAGGAGGAGTGGCCGCTCGAGCTGGCCGCCGCCGTGCTCCAGGGCGGCTCGATCCACGTGGTCGCGTGCGGCCGCGTCGGCCGGCTGGAGCGGCCCTTTCACTTTTGCGAGAGCCGCGCGCCGCCGGCGGGCTCCGCCTTCGCCTCCGACCTCATCGCGCCGGCGGCGGGCCGCGCGGCGGCGGGGCGCGTCGTGCTCGCCTTCGAGGAGGAGGAGGCCGTGTGCGGCGTCATGGCAACCTCGTCGCAGCCGGGCTGGTCGCAGGCCGCCTCCTCGCCGTACGCCGCGGCGCTCGGCAGCCGCCCCACGCTGCCGCCGCGCCCGACCTCGCCGTCGCACGAGGCGCGGACCCGGCTGGCGCGCAGCGCGTCGTGGTACGAGGTGCGCCCAGGGCCGGGGTAGGGCTGGGGCTGGGGTTGGGGGTAGAGAGTTAGCGCCGTGGTGCGAGGTGCGCCGTGCCGTGGCCGGTTGGGGCCGCGGCGAGACGGCCCGCTCTCTCCCCTGTCAGGCGGCGGCGAGCGTGACACACGTCAGCTGCGGCTGCGACGATCTGTGGCACCTCGCCATCGACAACCCGCAGTTCTCGGCGACGGTCGACATGCTGTGCCTGGGCGAGCGCGGGCTGGTGGAGTTTGTCAAGCTTCACAGCGGACACAACGCGCAGCCCATCTTTTATCGGCCGCTGCGAGAGTCGCCCCACCCGTGGCAAAGAGAGGCCACGGCTCGAGATTGAGGTTGGAGGTGTGTGGGTGTCAGGGGTTCGCGTTCCATGGAGGTTCGCGGTTCTCTGAAGTCTGCGGATACTCTCTCTGTCTCTCGCCCCGCCGAGCGTTCTTTATCTTTTGATGTCCTGAACCTAGTCCTGAACATCGTCAGAAGAAGGGGGTAGAGGGGAAGCCTCCGACACGAGAAACACGCGGGCAGCTCAGTCCGGTCCCCATAGCCACACCGGCCCGATTACCCGACCGTAGCTGCGCTTTTGTGCGGTCTGCGGTGCGGTGTGTGCGCGGCCCTTCCTCCGCTCCAGTCTACATAAGCGCCACTCCAAGTTGCCGTTGGCCGGCGCGTCCGTCAGCGGAGCGAGGTGCCGAATCGGCACTCAAAGCTACCATCGTACAGCCTGTCGTCCTCCGCACGCTGCCGCTCCGTCCGCTTCCTTCGCTCCGCCGCAGCCAGCCGATTCGCCTCGGCCACCTCTCGCAGCTGCGCTGAGCGTCGGCTCTCGAGCTCCTCGTAAGTGGCGTCGGCGGCGATGGCATGCGATAGCGCCTGCGTGCTCTCGCTTTGCTCCTTGTGGCGCGCCTCGGCCCGCGAGCTCTCCTGCGCCCGCACCTGCTCGTCCAGCGACGCGCGCAGCGCCTGCCTCGACGCGCTCGCGTACCGCTCCGGATTGGTCGCGTATTGGAGGATTCGTGCCTCCTGCCGCAGCTTGCGATCCGCAACGGCCCGGTCGCGGAGACGAGCTCGTGTCTCGTCGACGTCTGCGGAGGTGGCAAATGCATCGCAGGGCTGCGCCTGCCCGTCACTCGACGACGACTCACTGAAGGACGACGCTGTGGAGGCGTGAGGTGCGCGGGGAGAGAGGATGTCGATGTTTCCGTTGCAGTCGCCGTAGGGCTGGCGCAGCCCGGGCGCGCTGATCTTCCAGTCGGACATGGCCTCGCGTAATGGCGGTGGCGAGTGTTTTGACCCAGCGGCTGAAACGCCGGTTGCGCGACGGTACATCTTTTACGCTCCCGGCCCGCCGTTCCATCTATTTCGATTTCCAGGAGTTTGCAAGGGTGATGAGGGTGGAGGGCGCATGAACGGCGGAACATTCTTTTAAGACGCATGAAACGCGGAAAATTCTTTTCGACCCCCTATACCGCGTGTGACTACTCGAGTAGGGAGGGAGGGAGGGAGGCGCGCAGTGGCTCTAACACAGGTACACCAAGAAAAATAATCCTCTCGGCCGGTGGTCCATCGGCTGACAGAATATCGAACACCGCGGCAAACTACTCGAGTAGCGATGGGAAGAGGACAGA